CCGTTTTTTCCGATCATCAAAAGGAGCACACGGCGGGTGTGACCAATCGGCAGGGGATGCTCACTCCTCCTTGGCACGTGATCCCACCTCTGATGTTTTTGGGGGTCCTTGCTTGCTCTGCTCCCGATTTGTATTGTCTTAATGGACGCTGAGCTTGAATACTGATCTTTATCTCAATATTTCTTGTAAAGAAGGAGAATAACTTCTCTCAGTCGACTACAAATTAATGGAGGCCTGTCCAGCACTAGAACACTTGACGAAGTTGTCCAAAATTTCAAAAATCTTGTAAAAGTACATTTGCTGATTACAACTTTGTACTCTGTTTGCCTCCTACATGTAGATGCCCAGGAGCAGGGAAGAAGATTTTCAAAGAATAATGCATTTTCATTATAGATTCAACACAGCCCCCGCCCTTATATCAGAAACCCTTACCTATAAAGACCATGAAATTCACATTTTTTGGAAGAGACACACTTGCTCATCACAACTATGCACCTAGTTTATCTGCTAAATACCCAGGAGCAGAGAAGATTTTCGAAGAAATAATGCATTTTCACTACATAATCAATAGACCCCTACCCTTAAACCAGAACCCCAACCCAGCTCATCATAACTATATAATCAATAGAATCCCCACTTCCCCCGACCCTAATAATAAATTTCATATTTTTGGAAGAAGCACCCTGCTTACCATAACTATGCACTTAGTTTATCTGCTAAATATGTAGAAGCAGAGAAGATTTTCAAAGAATTTCACTTTATAATCAATAGAGCCCGGAACCCCTGACCAAGGGGCCATGAAATTCACATTTTTGGCAGAGGGCTCAATGCTTATTACATTCATGCCAACAGTTTGACTGCTTGGTGTCCAGGAGTAAAGAAGAAGATCTATATTTAAAGATATCACACTTCTGCTCATCTAGACGATTTGTGGGAAGGACATGGTTAAGGTCTGAAATAATGACAGCAATAAACCACGGTATAGTGTTAACTTTGACTTGCATGATTTTGATCACAATAGTTAATTTACAAATAATATTAATGCTTTGATTAATATATTCACTAATAGTAAATGTTTTGAAAGAAATAAACGAATAAATAGGGTTTAATTGATAAAAGAAAAAAAAAATCATCAATGCCTATAGTTTCATTAAATAAAAAGGAATAAATCTTACAGTTTATTACATTGGAATATATAAACTGAATACATATAATTGATTTTTTTCCTCTCAAACTGCGTGGATACGAATAAAAGAAGTTAAAACCGACCAGATTGCCTCGGGGGATGACAGGTTGTATTACGTTGTTAAATATGAAAAATTAAAGCTGATGTTCAACATTTAATCGATAAAATCTGTTATGTTACAAAACAAAGTTTTTGGGAAATTAGCATAGAATATCTTGCTCCCATTTTTTCAAAATAGTTTTTCAATCTGCGTAATGTGATTCCAGAATGTATCAGACACGGATCTAGGAATTTGCGTTGGGCAGAGGGACTTTTATAAGGCGAGGGCTCTTTGGGCCTCAAGTGTCCTCAACAGGTCCAAGGCGGTACCCTAGCAGGGGTTAAGCCCCACCCACCCCCCGGAAGCTCCTGAAATTCAGAAATTAGAGAAGTCACCTTATTTTTACATTAAAAATGTCAATTATTTTACCTTCGAAGTTTGATAGTAAAAATTATATCGAAATGTATAAGGAATGAATGATAAATCGTGAAAAACTTTAAAATGAATGTGAATGATGACGATATCCGTGTTTAAATTTCATGGAAAACAAGAGAATTAAAACAAGAGAACCATGCATGGGCCTATGAATCATGAGTTTTTCAGGCTATGACCACTTAAGCCCCACTTAGAACTGTCCAGAACTCATGTGATAAAATTTTTCAGTTTAGTGGGGACTCTACGATCGTTGCTGTATTCATGCAGTATTTTCCTATAAAATGAAAAAGGTGAAGATAACGAACAGTGATCGAACTAAAAAAAAAACAACTAACAATACAAATGTGTGAACAGGGCATAAAACATGGACCCCGGGAATTCCAGACGTAGGACCAGGCGTGCTAAGGAGTTAAGAAGATATAAATTTCAATATATGACTAACTTTGGCCAACCCTTTGACCGAGGGGAGATGAATTAATTTTTTTTTTTTGTACACGGATAGCTGCTCATCGTATTCATGCAGAAAAATATGTCCATAATCTAGTAATGAAGAGGATTTCAAAAGGGAATGTAGTACTACTTTTGATGTACAGTAAGTCTAACATTGTCCTACCCTGGGTCCTTACCATGAGCAGGGGGATGCAATCAAAACGTTTGGTAGGGACTGAATGTAAGTTATAATCATGCAAAAAGTCTGTCTACTAGATGTCCATGAGTGAATATTCAAATATATCATGTATTATCAATATATAACCAACCTTCCCCACTCTAGGGCCTGAATACTTCACCCAGGAACTATGAATTTTGCAATTTTTAAAGGGTTAATTACTCATTGTAATCATATACTATACATGTAGTAATCATTTTGCCCACTTTATGTTCTGAAGAAAAGATTTTCAAAGATGTAACGCTATTGATCCTCACCCTGGGCCCTGAACGCTGGACACAGGAACCGTGATTTTTAAAATTTTGATAAACGTTTAATCAAGATGTAAGATGTTTCTGAGTAAAGAAGAATTTAAAGGTGTAATGTATCATCAATATAAGACAAACTCATTTGCACCCTGAGGTCTAAACCATAGGCTCAATGGCTTCGAATTTCACAGTGTTGTTTGAGGGCAAAGTGTTTATTGTAATCACGAAATCATTTGCCTGCTAAATGCGTAAGAGTAGAGAAGATTTACAAAGTATAATATATATGTACTTTCAATATGTGACTAAGCCCCATTTTAAGGTCTGAACCATGGACCCAGGGTCTACGAATTTCAAATTTTGGTAAAATGTTGTCAATGAGTAAAGAAGATTTTATAATACAATGCATTTTCAATTGCAATATACCGGTATAACCAAACTTAGCCCAACCCTCTCCGAAATCAGGGGCCACAATTGGTAAAGAGGACATTGCTTATTACATGTAGTTCATGGCAACAGTTTGTTTGCTTATCCAGGAGTAAGAGAAACTAAGATTATTAAAGACTGCACTCATTTTAATTTTTAGTTTTGGGCCTCATGGAGGCAAAGACCACGAAATACACTTTGTTCCCCTTTACACATATATGCTACATGTATTTATTAAAACTGGAGAAAATGTTTAAAAAGAAGATGGGTGAACAAGGCGTGCAGAATGCCTATAGCTTCAGATATTAATAAAATCATATTCAATTTGTGAATTAGGTATTTAAAATAAAGTTCTCATTATTGAAATTTATGAAATTATGATCAACAAAACTTTTCTGAGAAAAAAATATCTCGGAAAAAAATATTCTTTTATTCAAAAAAATAAAAAGGTATTCATGGGATTCGAACCCCTAACAATAAAAATCCGAAGTATCATATTGTTTTGAGACTAACACGCTAACCACTACGCCACGCAGCTCCTGACATATAAGTGGCATTTAAATCATGTTTGTGATATGACCCTTGACTTAATGGACTTCAAGTATTTCTCGGAAAGATGCGAATGCTTTGTCATAAAAGTGTACTTTTAAGGTATAGTGGGTCTTTGCTCCATGTTTTTGTAAACCAAAAAATGTATATCTTTATGCAAACTTTTAGGATCAACTTTCAAAAAAATGGAGCGAAGACCCATTCATATCGAAAATTTTTGTTAAAGTGTGAGAAAATGATCCTTTTTGTCCTCTTTAGTGTGTGTATGCTATTTCGTAGGCAAATAATTTCAGTCATTGTGAGATTTTTGTAAATTGTAGAGATTTAGCATAAAATATACTTTAATGTTAGATGAAATATCAAAGAAAATTTTTATATAATTGAGATTTTATTTTTCACTTCGTGTTTGTCGCACTATAGGCACTTCGCCCGCCTTGTTCACCCATCTTCTTTACAAACGACGCACAACGCACGACGGATAAAAACATATAGCAATATCACCTGAATGACGGATTATTAATTAGGACTTTCAAGAGCCTCCAAGATAAAGTCTTAAAACCATTGAAAATTAAATATATATATATATATATTTATAATGCTGCATATTTCATATTATTTTATCGATTTCCTGTTCAATTTTTCTCAGTTTTGTCCGACTTTATGCCCATTACATGAAGTACAATGTAATGTATCTGAGATGTCTACCATCAAACAAACAGATTAAGAATTTAGTTTTAGAGGAAAAAGGGATATCTTCCCTATAAGCTTAACTGATTTTATTGATTGTAAAAAGAGTTCCCCGCACAAGAAATCAAGCTTAATTGCACACAAAGCCACGTCATTTGAATAAAAGCATTTAAAGAATCTATTTGCGATGTTAGATGGTTCCGAAATAGTACAAAATGCAGGAATGAAATCGTTTTATAAAACGTTTAACGAAAATTGGTCTTAGCGTGATAGAGTTTTTCATGCACGCAAATCAGCCATGTTTCTTCGTTAGAGTTTGTTACCAATGCAATTATAGACTTCACGTCCAAGACACCAATGTGTTTTAATGGTTGTATGAGATTGGAAGCTCCGTAGATTAGGCACCAGGGTCTATAAGAGAGAGCGATTCTGTCAATTGAAGTGTTAGTCAGACAGCTGTAGTTGATGGGGAAGAATAATTTCTCTGGGTATTCTGAATGATTTTACCAATTTGTCTATAAAAGGAAAATGTGCGTTCTTACATCTATGTAGTGCTAGTGAATTTCATAAATATTAGCAATCATTTCCAAGGGAATAAATATGAAAATAGGGATTGTTATTTCATGAAATACCGGTAATTGCAAGTATTAGAATTCATAGTTGCCATGCGTATTTTTATACTGAAAAAATTATACACGAAAAATCAACTGTACCATGATGTAATATATAATTTATAAGCTGATCAATAATATATTTTTTCGCCAGGTAAAGAGAATGGTCCGACAATGACCGAGGATGACCTCAAACCAAGGTGACCCCGACAACCAAAAAATAAAACTGGCCATTTTGGGAGCACCCGGGACAGGAAAAACCTCCATTGCCAAGCAGTTTGTTTGTAACCATTTCACGGAAGATTACGAGCCTACGGAGCAGAGGGAACTGTATTATCCGTCAATTATCATTAATGATCACCTGTACGACCTTAAAATCATCGACTGTCCCTACATTCCGTACTTTCCGGTGAATTCTCTATATGAGTGGACAGACTTTAGAGGCTACGGACTCAGAAATGCTACAGCGTATATATTAGTGTATGACATTACATCGGAAGATAGTTTTCAGTATATTAAAACCTTACGTGAACAAATTTTAGAGAGCAGAAACATGCATGATGTTCCGATTTTTGTCGTAGGGAATAAACACGATTTAGCGGACGAAAGAGGGATTTCACGAAGAGAGGTCGCCAATTTAGTTAAGAAACAATGGAAATGCGGGTACATTGAATGCTCAGCCAAATTCAACTGGCATATCATTCTATTGTTTAAGGAGTTAATGAAGACAATAGATTATATCGATCATGGGCATAAGCCCACAGCCGTCCGGGTGCAGGCTGCGCTTAGAAGAAATAGATGCGTAATCCTGTGAACAACGATATCAGTGCTTTGCTGTTGCCAAAAACACTTTCATGTAGAAAACCCTCATCATTTCGCGGAATAAATTTCCGCATATGCTCGATCTGGTCTTTGATGCTATGTATGAAAAACCGAAAGGAGAAATCGGTATCCTCAGTTTAGTAAACATTGGAATTAAACGATGCTCACTACAATTAAATTGTACCGTTTGTTAAAAAAAATCATTGATTGTGGTTTTTCTCTGAAGAGTTGATGATTTGAGAAAGTGCAGGAGGTATAAGTTAAATTTCCGTGGTTTCTCATTGAGGAATCACACTTTGAAATGCTAAACGATAAATATTTACATGTTTAAATCAGAAAATGAACTAGAGATATGTTTTGTGAGTTCCGTAGTGAGTGCCTTCCATCCCTAAGATAGTCTCAATCAGCAACTACATGTATATCGCATTATCTTTAATTTCCCTAAATCAGAGATAAAAGATCGTAATAAATAATCATATAAAGCATAGGGGTAATATTTTTTCTCCACATTGTGAATGGAACATTGCTTCACATTTAGTTGAATTCATCAATTCTTAAAAAAAAAAAAAAAAAAAAAAAAGATTCTGAAATAAAAAGAAATATTCATAATCATGCATGTACGGAAGCCCGTAGAGGCCAGTTCAGAGAAAGAAATATTTTTTATTGCGTTTAAACGCAATAATTATTGCGTTTAATCGCAAAACATTGCGATTAATTGCAATAATCATTGCGTTTAAACGCAAAAGATTGCGTTTAATCGCAATGTATATTGCGTTTAAACGCAAAACACTTTGCGTTTAATCGCAAAAGATTGCGATTAAACGCAATATTTTTCGTTTAAACGCAATACTTTTGCGATTAAACGCAAAGTGTTTTGCGTTTAATCGCAATGATATTTTTGCGTTTAAACGCAATAATTTTTGCAATTAAACGCAATACTTTTGCGTTTAATCGCAATAAATTTTGCGTTTAAACGCAATACTTTTGCGATTAAACGCAATACTTTTGCGATTAAACGCAATAATTTTTGCGTTTAAGCGCAATAATCTTTGCGTTCAAAGGCAATAATCTTTCTGTTTAAAGGCAGTCATTTGTATCAAACCTTGCAGAGTACAATGGACCCACGCATACCTATATCTTTTATTTCTTTCTCTTTTTACTTATTAGGAAATTGTGTGTTGTCTTTATAGAATCAGATTTCTCCGAGCAAACACTCTTTGAAAGGTAAATTACTAATAAGAATTTATAGAGGAGAAAAAAAATGTCGGGTTGTAAAAACAAAGGAATCCTAAGAACGAGACATGTCTTAAGCTTATTCTCTACATTTTTAATGAAGTTTCGGTCAGTTGTTCTGCTAAAAAAAACTGCCCCATACGTTGCAGTCACAAGTTTAAATCATGTATAAAGGGATTTTTGGAAAGGACTGAGGAAATGTTGGAATTACGTACAACATGATGAAGTATTTAGACTTCAATGTACATTCATAACCCTTCCTATGGTTGCATACAGTAAACACAAGAACATATGTGATGGATTTATATGAGGTCAAAATCAAAATCAAATGAAAACAGATTGATCGATGTGCACTACATGTATCAAATTGACACATGCTATTAATACCACTGAAACTTTTTCTATAAGTTGTGATACACTATAAGTTGTGATACACGTAAGCAATTGAACAGAGACTTCATTAAGAGTTTTGAGTTCTAATACATTTAAGACATTCAGGTTGTTAGGATGCCATTGTTTTATTACAATTTTCAAAAACTGGAAAATTTTGCAAAAAGACACAGAACAAATCGGATCTTCTTAAAGTTGAAGTGTCGGGTCCTAGCACATGTAATTATAAGCTTTGACTAATTCATGTTTGATTTTGAAACTACAGTATCATTGTGTTTAAATGCAAAACAAATCCTTATAAGGAAGGATTATTGCGTTTAAACGCAAAGATTATTGCGTTTAATCGCAATAGTATTGCGTTTAATCGCAATACCATTGCGCTTAATCGCAAAAGTATTGCGTTTAATCGCAAAAGTATTGCGTTTAATCGCAAAAATTATTGCGTTTAAACGCAAAAATTATTGCGTTTAAACGCAAAAAATATTGCGTTTAAACGCAAAAATATTATTGCGTTTAAACGCAAAAAGTATTGCGTTTAATCGCAAAAGTATTGCGTTTAAACGCAAAAGATTGCGTTTAATCGCAATCTTTTGCGTTTAAACGCAAAGTGTTTTGCGTTTAAACGCAATATACATTGCGATTAATCGCAATCTTTTGCGTTTAAACGCAATAATTATTGCGATTAAACGCAATGTTTTGCGTTTAAACGCAATATTTATTGCGTTTAAACGCAATAAAAAATATTTCTTTCTCTGAACTGGCCTCAACGGGCTTCCGTATGCATGCTCGACTAAAGAATGATTTGCGTGTAACTGACATTTACACTGCACATCTTCAAGACAAAACAAAAGTATATTTATGAAAAGAAGTGCATGGTTTTTAATAATTTCCAGTTTGCCTCAAAGGGTGAACATTTCCCACATATTCTAATTTATAAGACGGAAACGTTACACTGCTGAAAAAAAGTTTGAATTTCAAACCTTAAACAGCAATTTTAAAAAAGACATATAAAAAAACAGTTTAAAAAATCATCGACAGTCGGGGCTTTAAGTGGGCGGTGACTTGCTTATTGGTCAGGGTAATCCTGACCAATAAGCATGGCACCGCCATCTCGTTGTTTATGAGTAACAAACCTATACCTCTTAGTCTAAAATATCAGTAGAATAGCCTAATTGAAAATTGCAATAAAAAGTGGAAAATCCAAGATTTCAAATAAATCTGCACTTTTGTGTCTTAATTAAAAAACACTTTAGTTTTTCCCCTAGTTGCATAAGAACTACACTGTAGATACTCATGGCCTAATAAAAACTTGGAATAAAGAGTGGAAAAAGCAAGGTTTCAAATAGATCTTGCACTTTTATGTCTTAACTATAAATCACTGTTTTTTTTTCCTAGTCAGAGAACTACACTGTAGAGAGTGGATAGGCTTTGGCCTAGATGTAGGCGAAAGCCTGTCCACTTCTCTAAAGATATTGAAGAACTAGAAATCTGTCCATCGTTGCAGATCCTCTATGTAACGAAATAAGTGGCCTGTAAAGGAATTTACCCAGAACTATATATAGGCAGAAATCGTTCCCACTACAGTACAAGCCAAATAATCTTGGAAAAGAAACAAGAAAGCAAATGTCTCTGGTAATGGAACTTAAGTAAATTAATTGCTCTGGTTCTGTATAAAACATCTGATGAATTGCTTATGTAGAAGTATTTTTCATTGGGCAACTTCATTTATAGTCCAATATTCATCCTATTGTGTGTTTTATTGCGTAGAATGTGTATGCACAATTTTGTTAAAACAGAAAAATAAATATAAAACTATATAAAAAAGTTAATGGGGGTATGCTCCTTTACGTTTCCCGTTCCTTGCAAGATCGAAAAGTCGATACAATGTAATTAGAATTGTAGGCAAAAAGATAGGAGCTTGTATCGATGTAATGTTAGCGATAGAGCTCGCCTCATGACACGAAGCTCGCCAATATCACGAAATCTCGCATAATGCTGGCAAAAGGGTTAGTAACCAGACCTATTGATTGTTAGAAGGGCTTTACAGAAAATAATCTATTTTAGGTATATTCTGCTTTTCTCCAAAAAAAGAAGCTGTTTTCAGGTTGATAAGAGAAATCTCCAACATCTTATTTGATGCCCCTCCGACATTGATTGAGGCAATCATTGAATACAGAATACATGCATTGAATCATTCGAATCCATATATTATAAAACACATATATTTTTGTATATCCTGGTACTAGTATTAATGCATCTAAATCTAAAAAAGAAAAGAGACTTAAAAAACAATCTTAAAATCCATAAACATTTTCATTTGTCAAATATGGATTCAAAGCGTTTTATGTAGCTACGTGGGGTTTTTATTTCATTTCTTTTACCTGGAGCGTATGCAGGTACATGTATATTTTTAAAATAATTTCTTTATGTAAAAACTCAATTATTCTGCATGTCAACTAATGCATGGAGCTTGCAAGTATGTTGTATGGGTCCGATGAAGTAGCATGTCGACAAAATATGACATAAATACATGTAAGTTGTTCAGTTCATTATAATCATTATTTGTTGCAAGTTGAAATAATTATGGTTCCCCTCTTAAAATGATTTTACAGGACCACAGTGTGTAAGGTGTATGGCAGGATTTGACTATGCCTAGCCATTGACATGTACATGTAATTCATAAAGGAGTGTGTAAGATGTATGGCAGGATTTGACTATGCCTAGCCATATTGACATGTCCATTTAATTCATAAAGGAGTGTGTAAGATGTATGGCAGGATTTGACTATGCCTTGCCATTGACATGTACATGTAATTCATAAAGAGACTGCAACATATTTGATAATGTGCTTGACTTTATAAAGTATTCACGTAAAATCAAGCAAAGTATGTTACCGGCCCCTGTGATTTGATATGGGTTTGCACCACAACTTCTATTAATTTAAACAAGGAAGATTTTATCTTTTATTTACGTTTTGATTTAGACTAGAAATCTTGCATTCTTGGAGAAGTGAGGAGATTTTGCATCTTTAATTACTACACCATCTTTTATAAATCCTAAGCTGTCGTGCATATAATACTACATGTAATATATGTCTTTTGATTTACTATAGAAGATATGAAAACAAATTACATTTAATGGCCTGCCATCTGTTACGGTTTGATCGCTCTCCCGATTGTGTTGATGTAAGCGATGCACATTTGTCTGAATTGTTCCTATCATTCACATGTTGTCGTGATCAACAATCGTGAAATTAAAAAAAAGGAAGAACTGGTACGTGTTCCTGAGGGGAACCATTCTGCTGATGTATACAGATCACCCCCTCAAAAGTAATTGTAAATTTTGTCCCGTGCAAATCTACAACGATTTTGCAAAATATATAAAATGCGTCGACAGAGAAATCGCCTGGAGTCATTCCTGAACACCAGAAAACCGATTTCCAGTGTAATTACAAAGCTGATCTTTTATAATGCTTTTCATTTTCCATTAAAGTATACAAATGACATGTCTGGATTATCTATTATTTGCGTATATTTTCCCAGCAGCATAGAAGTATTGCTGAGTCATGTAAAATATTCATGGACGTATTTTTATGAGAAAAACCCTCAATCCTTTAATTTCCTTGGGATTAGGAAAACGGATTAAATGTTCTATAAAGAATCAGAGCTTTTATTAAAAGTGCAATATGTTATCTTCATTATTACAATTTACAGTAAACTCGGAGAATTGTTAACCAAATATATAAGAACAATTGAAGGTAAGGGGGAAATGAACATGTTAGATCTACAGTGTAAGTAAACAGAAATTGATCA